TCGTTTTTTTGCTATTGAGCTGCAGGAGCTGTTTGTATATTTTAGAGACTAATCCCTCGTGGGTCTCATTACTGCAAATATATTCTCCCGTTCTGTGCGTCGTCTTGTCATTTTGTTCATGGTCTCTACTGCTGTGCAAAACCTTTAAGTTTAATTCAGTCCCGTTGGTTTTTTCATTACTCCACGAGGTGGATCAAAAAAGATCTTGCTGCAGTTTATGTCAGAGAGTGTTCTGCCTATGTTTTCCTCTAAGAGTGTTATGGTATCTGGCCTTACATTTAGGTCTCTAATCCATCTGGAGTTTGTTTTTGTGTTAGGGAGTGTTCTAAATTCATTCTTTCACATGTAGCTGTCCAGTTTTCCCAGCACCACTTACTGAAGAGCCTCTTAGAGCAGGGGTTTGTTCTTGATGGTTTGAAGTCACTGTCCTGTTAATAAACCCAGGCTCAGTATCTTTTGGAAAGGCGGAGATTTTATATTTTTACTCATTAAAACTATATATAAATTTTTAACAGCTTAAAAGTTTTCATCATACCTAATAACCCTTATCTTTCTTTTTGAAAAATGCCTTTTAAGGCTATACATTTCTTCCTAACCTGTATCCCTTAAAACTGCCTTTCACTGCTAGATCCTTGGTCCTCATTCCTCTGGGTTGGATTTACTTTAGTGATACTTAACGTACTTACCAGCATGATGGAGAGGGCTGGGAGCAGTGTGGTCCAAAGGAGAGGACTTTGCTGGCTGCTCTTAGAGAGAGGGGAACACTCGCCAGGCCTGTGGCCCCCGCATACAGGAAATGTGTCAACAGCGCTTGTCTTTTCAGAGCAAAATCTAGAGCGGCAGGTGTTACAGACGCAGTGCAGGCGGCTGGAGGCCCAGCACTACAGCCTCAGTCTCACGGCCGAGCAGCTCTCCCACAGCATGGCGGTGAGTCCCAGGGCACCACACGCGGGGGAAAGGAATGAAAATCGGCTCCTGGGGTTTTTTCTTAAACACATAATGCTTACTTTTGTTCAGCCTTTCGAGTCTGGGTTCAAGAGCACCCATACAGACAAGTTTTGAAGGGAAATTTTGCCCTTGAGAGATGAAACAGTCTCAGCCTAAGGAGTGAAGCGTCATTCATTTGCAGACTATTGATCCTGGAAGGGTGACGATGCTGTGTATATATATGTCTTCAGAGGAATTAGTTACTGCCTGTGTCAGTCTCCCCCTCCTGTGATGTGTTCAGGAGGATGGAGGGAGGAAAGCTCTTGAGGCGAGAAGACCACCCCCACCCCCACCCCCCCTCCCCCCCCCCCCCGGCAGC